TGTGGGTAGTGATAGGGCTGGGGTTAAAGAGTGAAAGGCATTGAGGAATGGTTGTGCTAGGACTGGAGCCATGATTTTATAGTATTTGCCCGTGTATCCATTTGGTCCCAGGCTTTTACCTAATGGAGTGTGTCTAATAGTTTGGTGTAGCTCGTCCAACGTTATTGGACTATCTAGGAAGTTTGTTGTTATTCGGTATTGTGTTTTTGATTCTTGCCTGTAGGAAGTCTTGGATATCTGTCAATGAGGGTGGTGTTTCCCTTAGTTTGTATAGTTTTGTGTAACATGTTTGGAAGGCTTTGGTAATGTCCACCATTAGACAGGTCTGAGAGGATTTGATTTTGATTTGATGAGTGGCAGAAACCTATGGTGTATAAACATCATGTCTATGGGTGTATATGTACCTGAGAGTGGGGAAAAGAATGAGTAGTCCTGTTTAGTGGGGTGCATGGTCCTCCAGCAGTCATACAGGTGTGCTTCGTGTAGTATGATGCGTTGTCTTATGCTTGCTGAGGTAAGGTAGTCACTGTATGAGGATGAAGTATCTAAGTCCCTATCTAGGGTAAAGTTCATATCACCACCAACGATAAGTATACCCTCTTGAAACATGGACAGGTTTGTTAAGATTCTTTTCAGGGCCTGACATTGTTTCTTATTTGAAAGGTACAGGTTCGGGAACGTAACCTTTGTGTAACCTATGGTCCCTGAAACAAATATGTAATGGCTGGCCTCATCAGTTTGCTGTTTGTTAAATGTGAAAGGGACTTGGCTCCCTATCAATATCCCAACTTCCCTGGCTTTTGCCCCTGTGTAATGGCTAAAGTAACCTGTCGGGTATCTCTGGTTTTGCAGTGTTGATGCAGAGTCTTTACGGAAGTGTGTCTCTTGTATAAAGACAACCTCCGCTTTCTGCCTATGGAAGTCTGTTAAAGCTAAGGACCTCTTTTTGGGGTGTTGAGCCCTTTGGCGTTCTGTGAAATGAGGTGGATCGTAGTCATGGTGTGTACTCGTCAGTTGGTTATAGAATCCTTTGAACACTCTGTATCACTAGTATTTCAGAACAAAATAAACCTTATGCACACAATATATAATGGTTAATAGATAACAAAATAATAACAGTTATTACAATTAAGAATTCTCAATATACTGATCAATTATGGTGACTAACTGTTAAGGGGTAGGGTGCACACAAGGTGTGTTGGGGATGGAAGGAGCTCCAGAGTTAGGAGCTATAATGCACGGCTAAACCTTGGCTGTGTCACCGTACCCAAATTTATTGGTGAGCAGTTTAATCTCTGTCATTAATACTTTTCTATCTCTGTACAGGAGACAGAAAGTTTTTATTTGGGTGTGTGGCAAAGAGTTTAACTCGATTCAACATAATTCACAGTATAGGTATGTTGTGTGTGTAGGAGACTGTTAGGACAGTTCTGTCCTACAAACTATGGGGTGGAGGGGGGGGACTCTCTGCTTGTGGGCCTCTTTGTTAATTGTTAAACACCTGTAAGCTGTATCAGGAATTTGCATTATTAAACATACATGTGTGTATTTACAGGACAAGCAGGATTTATACGACATGTGTGATGGTGGAAATAGTTGCTTTGACTGCTGAAAGGGTTTGTGAGGGGTTCGGGCAATCTCATGATTCAACTGTGATCCAAGGAGTTATCCTCATGAGCTATGCTTCTAGTAGTTTTTGGAGATCTGTAAGTTCCCTTTTGGTCATGGAGCGATAGTCTTAGTTATAAGTCCTCAGAGCGACTATGTTTAATATTTTGGGTTCGTCGTGTGTTCAGCATGACGTATCCAGGTA